CTGGAGGGTATCTGTCTCCTTTTACGGCATCTTTGGAAGCAACGACTTCTAGTTCATCCATTTCTTCTGGTGTGAGTTTGACAGACAGAGCACCTATGTTCTGGTTCAAGTTTTCAATCTTGGTTGTTCCTGGGATGGGACAGACATCGTTACCTTGGTGATGAACCCATGTTAGTGCAAGCTGTGATGTAGTGCATCCCTTCCTCGTTGCCATCTCCTTAACCCGCTCGTAGAGGTGTTTGTTATGCGCAAGATTTTCAGGTTGGAATCTGGGTTGAGACTGTAACAGTTAAATAACACATTTCAGTGATTTTTCAGAACTTGATATGCATAATAACAATCATTGATTTCTTATGATGGGAAAATTTGCAACAAATTGATACCAACCCTTCTGACATCTCCATCCGATAAATTTTCTGCCAGTTTAGGCCCCAATGAAAAGAATCCTCGCCCGAGAGGGCTGTATGCAACAATCCCAATTCCAAGTTCCCTGAACAATGAGAAGGACATTATTAGAAATTTAGAATGCGGATTGCCAATTTATTCAATCATGACCGTCCCAGTGATATCCTGACCTGCAATTTCTTCTTCCACATCTCTAGACCAGAGTGACCATTCCAACTGCACAGCAGTTATTGGATGAACGGCACGTGCCCTTCTAATTGTTGAAGCAGAAGCCTCAGACAGACCTATGTACTTCACTTTACCTTCTTCAACCAATTTCTTCAGTTCCCCCATCTACTAAAACATGCCAGAATCAATAAATTATAAACTTTCATCTTGAGAAAGACACAATAGAATTAAGAGAACAAACCGTGACTTCAATTGGCACACGGGTATCGATTCGATGCTGATAATAAAGATCAATACAGTCAACTTCAAGACGCTTCAAGCTGGCCTCGCAGGCTGCCCGGACGTAAGCTGGATCTCCACAGACCTCTGGCTTCCCGTCCATAAAGAAGTTTCCAAATTTGGTAGCCAATTCAACGGTGTCCCTAACTCCAACTTTCAAAGCCTTGCCGAGGAGGATTTCATTGGTGTGGGGACCGTAAATATCGGAGATATCGAGGAAAGTGATACCGGAGTTGACAGCGTAGTGGATAAGGGCGATCATGTCAGGTTCAGGCTTTCAAGGCCCGTAGGCAACGGACATGCCCATGCAGCCGAAACCTTGTGCTGAAACCTCCAAGCCTTGAGTGCCAAGCTTGATCCTACCCACTTTTTCTGCTGCCATTTCTGGTGGGCTGCGGTTGTTTCAAACGGTGGAGGCTGGCCGAGGAGTGAGGCAATTCAGGTTGTGATTTGTGAAATAGCAATGCAATTAACGTCGGCGATTTGGAATGAAGTCATTCATCCTCAAAGTCAAACGAAGACTGGACAATCGAAAAATCTATGCCTACGTAAGGGCCGATGTCATTTGTGACTTAAATTGCATAATTCTACTTGCTGTGATTGTAGTATCTTTGCGTATAATGTTTTGCTGTCAAAATTACATCAAACTATAAAATATCAATCATTAAATAGAAAAACTCAAAAACTCTCTCCCAATACCGAGGAGCTATTCTTAAACTAATGATTAGTGTTTTTGCATTTTAATACAGTCTGTTCTACACTTCTACAGACACTTCTCTATACCCCCATTTTTTTTTTTTTTTGCGTTCCTGTGCTTGCTTATGACTGTAGCTCTTGAAGAGCCACAACTTCCAAGGCTCCAAGGAATGCCTGATGTCTCAAAAATCAGTATCAGCTTGAGAGAAATAAATTTTGCTGAAAATGCAGGTTTGTGTACAATTGATAGAGACCAAGACGCCATGAATATGATTACAGGAGACAAACAAAGGATCGACTTTATTTCAATACTTCATTACTACTGAATGGCAATTAACTAAAACTCTTTCAGGCGCCACTAGCCTAGCTGCATCTTCTTCTCTCTCTTTCTAAACAACCATCTATAAAATTGAAAGCTTATATATACATGGCACAAAAGAAGAAAAAAAAAAATCTAGATTTCAGAACAGAAGGGTCAAAATTGAAAACAGAAGGGTTTACTGTTCTTTAGATGGTTCTTCCCTCTGCCTGCGCATTCGAGCTCCCCATGACATGTTTCCACTAGCATTCTTGTTTGCGCTTCTTTTCTTCAGTTCTGATAGCTGAACCTGCCAACGAGTTCTCCACTCATCTCTCTGTTCCAATTCCTAAATCAAAAGCAAACAGGAGCAGATTAAAAACTCATAAAATTTAGATTGCATTCTGAATTCAAACCAAGAGGACTACGGCTTTGAGACATCTGCAAGTAAGGAACAAAGGTGGATGAAGAGGAGGAAGGTGCATGGCACGAGCGTAAGGTAATTCATTTAAATGCATTAGAGGCTAAAATGTGAAATGATGCACAAATTTCACAAAAGCCTAATGAAAAAGAAATTCTAAAAGAACTAATAAAAGCAACAATCAACCCAACCAACTCTGAAATATCAATCAAAGAACAAGCAGAAAACTTTACAATAACTGAACAAAATAGAGTAATTTTATCCTGAGTATTATAAAATCACTGTAAACCAATAACAACAAAAAATATATAATTAAGGAAAGGGTAGATAACACAGAAATAGAATGAGAAAAACACAACCAAAACCTACAGATCTACACACCGAAAAAATTTCAAAAACTGCATTGTCATGTCACAATAGACTTTAATTATCCAGGCACGACATTTATGATGTTGGATGGTTACTCATCCATGCACCACAGACACAGGAAATTGTTTATGTTTTTTTTTTTTTTTTCATTGTTTCCCAAGTACGCTAGCAAATAAAAAGCTGGACTTGGATTTTAGCTAAAAAACTAGAGCCCCTGACCATGTTCTGATGGCTCAGAAATCATCCCGATCCATACATTTTCCAACCAAATTTAGAACTTTGCAGAAGTTCAGGATAACCCTTTACCCTCAAATGAAACCTACATTAATTTCAATTTATATGACATTTTTTCTTTACTGATCAATGGTATCACCTTTCAAAAGTTTCTAATCAAATATATGACTTTTGTGATTTTATGACAGAAGGAATAAGTGGATGGGCATGGTTATATTCTTGATTAGAAGGTTTTGAAAGGTGGTGGTCTTGACTAATAAATTCGCAAAAGTCATATCTTTAATTAGAAAATTCTGAAAGGCAATAGCTTGATTAGTAAAGAAAAATGTTATATACTTAATTAGAAAAGTTTTGAAAGATTGTGTTACCAAATCTCATTAGTCTTCCTTCTTTGGCTAAACTCAATTGTACTAACATATCATAACAGAAAGAAGCTTTGAATCCCAATTTGGAGTTGGATAAAATTATAATTGTGGGTTCATGATATCAAAGCTAAAATCCCAAAGCAGATCCACTGAAGAAGAAAAAAAAATGATGCCAAATGCACTGAAAACATACCCAAAATAGAAACACTGAAAAACGGAGAGGACTGACATACCTCATCGTATTGGTAACGTCTTCTAGCAGAGAAGGCGAGGTGAAGACCCATGGACAAGTCCC